GGCATCGCTGGTCTAATCCCTAAACCAAACTGATCCGCCAGCATCTGTGCTACCTGATCTCGAATCAAATTAACATCTTGCCCCCCAAGTTGCCCCCCTTGTGGTATGAATCCACCAGGATCCATGCCAAGCCCGTTTGGAGGAGGAGGGACGTTTTGTGGGTAGCCGCGTGGGGGAACATGATCATTGTTGATCGTTCCTCCACCAACACCACCGCTCATCGGAGCCACATAGGGCCTCGCCTCCGGGATTTTTTGTGGACCCCCACCGTGAAACGGCGATGGTTCAACCCGAGTGTTAGCGGCAGTGCTAGTCTCGCCAATATTAACTCGCGGAGTTGGTGGGTTCACCACCGGTGTCGGCGGAACCCCTTGTCTTGGTGGACTATTTCGAGCACCGTTGTTTGGAAAACCAGTTTCACTGTTTAGATTATTTTCACCGTTTAACGGCAAATCCCTAGGTTGCATTACTGGTCTACCCAAAAGCTCCCTGATCTCATTCATGTCACGTAGATTTTTATCAACAAAAATATCAAAATCATGCCTGTTTTTAGTCACAACGTCAAAGAGTTGACCCAAACGCCTATCAACACGAGACTCAAGAGAATCATGTCGTGCAGTTAAAGCGTCAAAACGCTGATTTACCTCGCCTTTGAAGCCTGCGAACTCACTGTTGAGGCCAGCAAACATGCGACGGTTCTCCTCCATGAAATGGCGGATAAACATATCCCCGGTCGGCACAGCTGTGGGCGGCGGATTCTCAGACCCGCCGATGTCTTCAGCATCGACTCCTTGGCCTCCTTCAATGTTGGCCACATGTTCCTCCACGAATCCGGGCGGAAAATCCCCCTCTTGATTCCTTCGTCGCGGAGCCATTCGAACACACGTGTCCCACCGGGTGTGCCAATTTGTTTCGTCGGTGTTCAATGCGCGCTGTTTTCAAGTAAGCACAAACACACAGTCAGCAAAACCGTCAAATATCCGTCGCCGAATGTCGGCGCCGTTGATTTGATCGATTAATACAGAAATCAGGACGACCGTCAAATATCCACCGCGGGCGTCGGCGATGTTGATTTGATCGATACACCATTGACTTCTAATCAAACAACCATTATTCGGTTCACCACCTCTCCAAACTACGTTTGAACGAGGGTGTTCGGCGAATAACCAGAAAATCGAACCAGGAGTTCTAAGTTACGTTACCTCTACTCCTATGGAGGTTCCTCTGGAGAGCTCTGCAACTACGACTACAAGCTAGGATCTACGACTCTGCAAAGGAGTTCTTTGACAGAGCGGTTCTACGAAACTGGAGAGAAAAAAGATAAATCTGCATAGGTGCAGTTTGTGTTTTGATTTTGCCTTCTCTAGTCTCTCTCTCTCTTCCCAATCTTTATACTTCGCGCTCCTCCCCGTCGTGGTAACTGCCTTGGCGCCTTTGTCTCCCACGTCTTCACTCCTATCAACCGTGCAGGTAACTTCCTCCTTGTTGCGTGATAATCACGTGCCCTTGAAACCTCTCTTGCCTTGCAGAAACATGGCAAAACGACCTACAACCTTGTCCATGTAACGGTGCCGTTTCACCAATACCACGGCATCGCCTTTCCCCAACCGATGCCGTTTTACAATCCAACTCAACTGCCCCGACCCGGTTTAACTAGTCCATCAAACAACGTCGTTCTCTACTCTTGCGACGTCGTTAGACTTGGCGGGCTGCTTTCGGCCGAACTCTTACCACTACCGCGATGTCGTTTTACTTTTCCACGGCATCGCTTCTCATTAAACGACACCGTCTAAAAATACTCATAAAATACTAATTAAATAATCAGCCCTCATTTTTAACTCGCCGTCAAACTCTCACCCCGGCGTCGTTCGTAGTTAAACAACATCGTTTCCTTGTCCCGCGATGTCGTTGAGCTTCGCGACACTGTTTTAATTTTAACACTGTCGTTTTAACTGCTGCGGCATCGTTTGGCCTACTTGCGGTATTGATTTATAATCCGCGGTGTCCTTTCTTTCCTCTTGCGGCATCATTTTCGACTAAACGACACCGTCCTAAAAAATCATTTAATTAATCCGGCCATTAGCGCCCAAAACGTCTCCGTTTGCCTTTCCTTTCGCGACATTGTTTTTTATTTAACCACTGTCGTTTGCTAATCCGCGGTACCGTTGGGCTTACTCGCGGTACCGTTTTTAATTCCGCGACACCGTTGATATAGCCGAAAATATTCCATGGAACCGCCGCCAATCGGCGCTCGCATTGGACTAGGCGAATTTTGGTTTAATTAATCGGTACCGCTTACCAGGCTCTCGCGGCATCGTTTTTAAATTCGCGATACCGCTTATCTCCATGCGGTACCGATTTTCCCCTTCCAACAAGGAATAAAGATAATAATTAATAATAATAATCAAACTCCTTTTCCAACACCAATACCAAACGCGCGGCCCACATCTTGCTTCCCGGTAAACGGTGTCGTTTCCAGTGCCGCGGTTCCGCTGAGCCTCCTTGCGGTACCGTTTTAACTCTCCGCGATGCCGCTTGTCTCCATGCGGTACCGATTTTCCCCTTCTGACAAGGAATAAAGATAATAATTAATAATAATAATCAAACTCCTTTTCCAACACCAATACCAAACGCGCGGCCCACATCTTGCTTCCCGGTAAACGGTGTCGTTTCCAGTGCCGCGGTACCGGTGAGCTTTCTTGCGGTACCGTTTTAACTCTCCGCAGTGCCGCTTGTCTCCATGCGGTACTGATTTTCCCCTTCCGACAAGGAATAAAGATAATAATTAATAATAATAATCAAACTCCTTTTCCAACACCAATACCAAACGCGCGGCCCACATCTTGCTTCCTGGTCGTTTCCAGTCTCACGATTCCGGTGAGCTTCCTTGCGGTACCGTTTTTCTGTTTCGCGGTACCGTTTCAATTCTCCGCGACGCCGCTCAACTCCCAACGACACCTTCTTTTACCCGCGGTATCGAATTAAATGCCGAGACTAAATAATGCGGCATTTAATTCAGGCCAAATTAACTTTAGGTGTCAACACATAGAGACGAGACTGCGCAATCATGAGACTTCACTACAGAATAAGAAAGCTCAAGTGGGAAGCATTGCTCAAGCACTCACCACCAGAGTTTAAGAAGCACTCTCGAGTCACACGTTTCCCAATCCAAAGGAACCAAGAGCAGAGTTGCATGCCATATGTTGCAGACTGGGAAGGTAATAGAGGAGGCGCTTCCAAATCACCATGGAGAGGTTGAATTCCTCCACCAAAACAGGCAACAAGGGAAGCGAAGGAAACATAGGAAGAGGTTCAAGCTCCAAAGGAAAACCTATGGTGGTGAAATATATCCCTCAACTCTTGTTTCCTACGCTCATGCATAAGGATTGACTGGAAGCAGAAATCAAGAAGTTCATGACCATGTTCAAGTAGCTACACATCAACATCCCCTTCGAGAAGGCGATGACTCAAATGCCCAAGTATGCCAAGTTCCTCAAGGATGTCCTCACCAACAAAAAGAAGTTTAGCGACCTCTACATTGTTATGGTCAATGAGGAATGCTCAGGCATCCTTCAAAACAAGCTCTCCGAGAAGCAAAAAGAGTCGATGAGTTTTACTATCCCTTGTCTCATTGACTCGTTGCATATAGAGAAAATTGTTATGGTCAAGGATGTCCTCACCAACAAAAAGAAGTTTAGCGACCACTACATTGTTATGGTCAATGAGGAATGCTCAGGCATCCTTCAAAACAAGCTCTCCGAAAAGCAAAAAGAGTCGATGAGTTTTACTATCCCTTGTCTCATTGACTCGTTGCATATAGAGAAAATTTTGGCCGATTTAGGAGCAAACATTAACATCATGCCATATAATCATTATGTACGAACAAATATTTTTTCCTTTGCTAGTGACATGAAACATTTCCTAGTGCATAATCCTGGAACAAAGTGTAATGCAAAGCTCTCTCTATACCTCCTGAAGCTAAGCTTTCATCTATTACTGTTGTTAGAGGTGACAAATGGATTGATCCATGGATTGGTGGATCCATGGATCAAATGGATTGGTGGATTCATGGATTGGATCAAGTGGATTGGTGGATTATCCATGAATCCAAATGACATCCTCAACCAAGGACCAATATGTAAAATGTGAAAAGTTTAGGTACTAAAATATCATAATGAAAATTTTTAGGTACCAAAACGTAATTTTCCAAGGATATTTTTCGTATACAAAATTAAATTTTGGGTACCAAAATATAAAAAGTATAGGTAACAAACCGTAATTTGTCATTTAGATCCATGGATCAATCCATGAATCCACCAATCCAATTGGATTTAGATCAAATGGATTGGATTTAAATGTATTGAATTAAGTGGATATTTTTAATGGATTGGTGGATTAGATTGAGAATTGCCACTTCTAACTGTTGTATCTAAAATTTTATCAAATACTTTTTTCCTTTTAAATTAATAAAATAGTATCACTCTTATATTCGTTTTTTGTTCCATCTCTATTCAGGGCTTTAATGTTGGAATCAGGGCATGTAGCCCAATTAACTTTCACCACTCAATTGTAAACCTTTTTGTGGAAGAAAACCATAATTCCTAACTTCGACATCTAACTTGTAAATCTTTTGAGATAGCTGAATATAAATAAATATCCTACGAAATGAGTGCGCAGTGGTGGAACAATCCTGAAATTGACAGAGCTACTGTACTGGGAACAAAATGTTAAATCTTGTGGATGTCAGATATTACAATTATCCAAGCAAGCAAGTGACTAAAACCTGAAACACTCCGTTACTCTCCTCTTTCAACCAAGAAATAAAGAATGAGCTGCCAGTTGTGGTTTAAGGGGGAGAAGACAGAAGAATACCATTGGGGAAGACAGATTCATACATACAAAAATAGCAGAGATATAATCATTATACAATATTTTCGAGCAAGGTAGTTAGTAAAGGCTTCTCCATTGGCGAGAGTGTATTCCGACTTCTCCATTGGCGACTAAACACCATTCTGTTTAACTGACGGCGGCCATGAGAGTCTCCGATGGTCCAAGGCATCAACTTGGTCTGCTTCGATCTTTTCATCGGCTTGCCTATGAAGCTCTTGTTGTTGTTTTCCTAGGCTTTTGATAGCCAAGTCATCCAGACTCGATTCAGTTTTCCAAACTGGAGGGGTCACAAGGTCCAAATCTCGAGGGGTCATTTGGGAAGGAGAATCCTTTGCCGGTGTTGAAGGCAGAGATGCAGTTAAGTGGCCTACTCTGAGATCCTGGAGTGTGGCAAATGATTCTCTCATAGCTGACATGGCTTCGAAGAACCGGGTGCATGATGCTAATGCAACAGGAATTGGCCTCAGCATTTCCTAAGCACATAGGAAAAATGGCATTGTGAAGAGGGAGATTTTTTTAGCAATTGATGATCAGAGCAAGCTAGAAGAATGTTTCATTAACATACCCCCCACACAGAAGGAGACTCCCTGAAGTTTTGAGTCCATTGGAAATCGGAGACAGATGCTGTCAAGGGGCCATAATCACTTGCAGCTTTCATAAGCAATTCTGAAAACTGTTTCTGCAGAATTCATGGTCGATGGAGTTTGCAAACAATTAGAACTACTGTTTCTGTCAGATCAAGGGACAAAATATTGCCTCATTTCCACAGTACAGTATGAGATTAGAATCCAAACTGGAATTCTTAAGTCTTTTGGCCAACTTATCGACAGGCATTTCAGGTATTCTTATCCAACATACTTAAAAGAGTGGTAAAGCTGATTGCCGAACATTTACACCCTGCTCAGCTAAATACAAAAGATAAGAAAGAAACAACCAACCTGATACTCTGCCTCTACAGGAATGCAATCAAGTGAGTAAGGTTGTTGAAGACGAGCTATAATACGGTCCTGCCAACATTTTCAAAACATAAGTTTCAAGATAAAATAAGCACGTAAAACACCACCAAAACAATTTGGTAGATTCACATGATGAATGAAGTTAAGCTCATTTGATGAATTCTTAAGCCTTAACAGCTTTACAAGGAGAATGTGTCAGATAAAATCAGTAAAAAAAAAAAAAAACAAACATAAGAGTGAGCTGCCTCATTAGAAGTGGGAAGTAGACACCATGAAATAAACCATCCCACTGTAAGGACAGGGTTATAAGTGGAAGTGAAATGAGCAATAAATCTAAGCGATTTCGAACATCCCTCTGTAATTTCAGAATGAACAGTCGAAAGAGGGAATGTCTTCATCAATTTTTTTTCTTTCAGAATGAACAGTTGAAAGATAAATGCATGCGGTACTATTAACATACAAACTGGACTAACATTGCAGTTTTGCAAGTTCTTCCAGCAAAGCTTTCAAGTACATGGGTAGTCCGTAGTCAAGCATTCAGGTATGCTCCTGCATCAGTGTGGACTGTTAACCCTTAAAAAAGATCAGATGAAGTTTTACCTTATTCTGAATGACATCTTTTAATATGGTGGTAATCCTCGATAAAGTCTCTATCTTCTTCTCCATTTCACTCACGTGTGTCAAATGAGCTACATTCTTATCATCCTGAATTAGCAGCAACACATAAGTTAAGACGACAAAAAGAAAAAGAAGATCGATACTCGGATAGTAAACAACTTAAGATCAACCCAAATGTGGCAAATGGAAATGTACGATTACCTTTCGCCCTTGAAGTTCGACCTGAAGATCCGCGATTTTTCTTTGAACAGTTGTCAGCTCTCTCAATACCTTGATCAGGTCATCACCCTTTTCGCCACTAGATGCCGACAAGTTCTGCACTTCCTCCTAGGGCCAGAAAACAGAAAAATGAGCTCAAGACACTCCAATTGGCCATTGCCATCTCTTCACATTGTAACCAACCTCAATACTTGCAAGCAGATGAGTAGATTCTAGGAAAATATGAGATGGAAAATGAAAAATTTGGTCAACACTGCTTTTACAGTAGCTACCAATCCTACTTCGTGTTCAAACAGGATCATACTTTATCTACCACATCTACAATTACATAATTGGAGTGGATCTTCACTCTTCAGCTGCAATTACAAAGTAATCCACCAAAGAAGAAAAGACAATTCGCTATCTTGTTCCAACAATTGAAAAGAGTAAGAGCATCAAAATCAGAACCCAAAAGGAACCAACCTAACCCGCAATGCGGGAAGCAGCAATTGACAGGAAACAATTGCATCGGAAATCAAAAGGAGCTGGAGATTAGCACCTGAGAAGGCGGTGGAGCAACCGAGTAGCCTAGATCGGCGGCGATGGAGAGCGCATCCGACATCCCTCCGATCCGCCGCAGCGGCTTCTTACTGACCCAGGTCGGGTCGCTGCCCATCGACATCTGGTATTAGGTTTTATCTCTCGAAATTGACTGCTGAAGTCCTCGAGAAGTCTGATTCTCGTCCCAAAGAAAATCCTTTAGCCGGGAGGAGATGTAACCGGCGGCCGGCAGTTGGAAGTTTTTCAAATTTCTTTCCTCTCTTTGCTTCAGCAGACGGCCAGCCAACGCAGCAGTATTAGTACACGGCGAAATGCCACCAAATTATTGCCGTTTTGCTTCTCCGCTGCCGTGGGCCCACATTGTTTGGATCGCATTATAGATTGGGCTTGAAACCAATTTCTGCGCACACTATACTATTTCTCCGTCTCAAAAGAAAAGCCCGGCCCGTATTTGACGGAGTCATCACAATCAAGTACTAGGGTTACGCCTCCGCCGACAGAAACCTCTATATAACGATCTCTTCTCAACTCCAATGCCGTCAGCTTATCTCATCTCATCTCCCAGAGCTGCAGAACAGGATTCTTCTCCGTTTCCGTTCAATTAGGGTTTCAGGTTTCCTCCCTTTGCTTTCTTCTTTCTAATTATTGCTTTGTTTCGCCTAGTTCCCCCCTGTGAAGAAACACCCCTTGAATAGGTAGAGCCGTATGACACTGTAAACAAGCAGCGGCGTGTTCTCAGCCGTCGGAACAACCGCGTTTTCGTCTCTCTCTCAATCTGCCGCCCGATCCGTAGGCGGCTCCATTGATTAGTTCAATGGGGCGTCTTGCTTCTCTGCTTCGTCCGGTGGGTTTTGGTTAGCGATCTCGCGGCCCTTTGGCTGAGCCGCCGCTGTGTGGTTGATTAGAATCGGGTCTCTGAGGGTTGTAAAAAAACACAATTTTTTATTCAATTTTGTGTTTCCCGTTTCATCTGAGTTTCTTGGTCCATGCCACGTCGCCGGTAGCATAAATTTGCCATGACCGGCGATGCTATGAATGGACCAATATTAAGTTTTCTGAATGTTTCGCTTTCTGATAGGAACCTGTGAATCTATGATCTTATCCGGTTCACAGAGCCGTTTTTGGCGATTACATATGATTTAAGTTTATTTGTTTAATCATAATAATATGAAGCCAATGATGATTTCTATTTAGTTGGAATTACCGGCTGAATTGTTTCAATCTTGATGTCAAATTAGACTGGCTTACTGAGGCTTCTCATTTCCTTTCCAATGGTTCATCTAAATCCTTCATCAAAGTTTGTATTTTTAAAGATTTATTTGTTTTTGTGTTACTGGGATTGGATGTGACGACACTTTCCCCAAATGAACGAATCTGAATAAACTGAGCGATCATAATCTCTTTGTAAGAGATTTCAAGCCTTTGTTCTGATCCTTCCCTTTAATTTAACACTCATTATGCTATTTTCTCAAATTTTGATTTTCTGAAATTGTCTATGTTTTCATGAAAAACTCGGTTATTCGTTGAGATGGAAGTGATGATAATTTCCCCAAATGAACGAAGTTGATATAACTGCGCGAATCTTATCTCTTTATAAGAGATTTCAAGCCTATGTTCTGATCCATCTCTATTTTTATTCAATTTTAGATACACTCATCTCTTTTGTCACAAAACACCAGATGTTTTTTATGGGGCTGGAGGTTAATTATAGGGTGGAGTTAGAAATTTTCAGTGGCTCTGAAATACTCGTGGGTTCTCTACGTGGTGCCCTAACGCTTTCTTCAGTCCTAAAGAAAAATTTTGGCATCATAGTACGTGTTTTGTGCTTCTAGGGGTTGGTTCTTTTTCTGCTGAGAAGCATAAGAAGTCTACACCCTAGGGTTTTCTTCACAAGCGCGCCTCCGTTTGCCATCACATTTTCTCTCCACCACTTCACTGGTGAATCAACACATAAATTTCGGCTTATGAAGACAGCTTTAGGGCATGAGTGGCAGCAGCTTTCTTTTGCGCATCCATGGAATAAGTAAAACACCGTTCTTACATGGGGCTGTTTGTTGCAATGACTAATGTGCCAAAATGCTAATCTGAGGCTATCGGTTTAATCCAATCTCTGAAATGTCAAGTTTCTGCCTTTTTTAGCATCACACTTTACAAAGATTAAACATTTGAAAAATAGCATAATCGAAATCCTTTACACCAACATGATAAGGTTACTGTAATATCGTTTTGACAAATGCATTTAACTGCAATTATCAGTATCAACAGTGTATTAGATTCCATCTTCAACTGTTAAATTATATCAGCTCTTTTTTTAACAATAGAAGTACTCAACGGGCATTGGTGTGGACAAAGCAATGACAATTTGGGTTTAGGTACTCGCTGAACAACGTATCAATGATATATCAAGGAAAAGGGGTAGCCCTGGCCCTGTAATCATTAAGTTTCCATTGTCTTCATGTTTGAACCAGAATCAACAGTTTTACACCCACCGATCTTTGCTAAAACAAACCAGATAGGGAACAGAATGAACTTGTCCCAAGGAAAAGGGGACTTGGTTGACTAATTCTACTTAATACTTAATATGGTCTTCTTATCAATAAATCCAAATCGAACGTACACCTGCAGAAAGAGGAAACCTTATAAGAGGGGTGGATTGATTTTGGATTCAATTGGAATTGGAAAATGGGTTCTTTTTTTACAACGCAAGGTAAGAACATCATGTAGCCTGCACAGATTTGGACAACTCTGCGGCTTGTCGCTAGTTAGCCATTGTAGAGGATATCGGGAACATAAACATGTAAGAACATACTAGTTTGAGTTGATTCTCCAAGACCACAACAGATTTCCCTCTGGATTTGTAACCGGGGGTACCGTGCTTTTATATCAACGGGCAACAACGTGGCGATGGCGTTGCATTGTGAGTGGCGCGTGATAGATTCTCACGCGTCGTAGAACTCAAGCTTTCTAACGAACGAATACAGAATGTGATAAAGATAGATAAATTACTACTAAATTATTAGACTTTATTGATCGAATGAATAAGATTTGATAGGTCAAAAGCGTAATGTCTCAATCCTATCTCGTAGTAAACCGGAAAGTCCGGGTATCGTCTCTCAGGGACTGGTACAACCTTAAGTTCTATCAATTTTTATTGAGCAAACTATATGTGAAAATGTTTAATGAGATGAAATTATTAACTAAAAGCAAAATTAACTAATTAAGCAAATTAAAGTGTCGGGTTTAACTCAATGGGAGAAAGCTCTGGGAGAAATACTGGGATTCACTACCTATCCTATCCAGATTAATTCACATATTCCAATCAGTTTAATCCAACTCTCTACAGCCAGGATATCACGAAAGTGCGCTATCCCTGTCGGGCATTACGACGTACTAGATAATCAATTCAAATCCTACTGTCGTAGCTCAATGAATTAACAATATAGTCTGAAGATCGATATCCTATTTAAGACCGTATAGCACCTTATTTAATCCACTGTCGCTTCGATAAGTTACTATGTCACATGAAATAGGTTCAGTTAATAGGATTTCACTGTCGCGAATAACCTAATTAACTACAAATCAATGTATTGGTGGCCAGTCAATACAAAGCATTAAGCAATTCCATGCAATAGAGATTGGAAGAAAAGAATCATAAATCAATCCATCAAATCAAGAAATAGCTACATCCTATGGTGTTTCTCCCAGAAATTGGGGTTTAGTTCATGACGAAATTAAAATAAATCGATAGGGTTTTGTTCATCATGTTCTAAATCAACAAGAAACAACTAATTTAGTTTAGAAAATCCAACCAACTAATCGCTCTCGTTGAACTCAGCTCAAGCCTTGAAAATCTCAATCGCCGATTGAGAATCGACCGGTCGCGTTTGCTCTGCTGCTGCCTTGGCTTTTCTTTCTTTCTCTCCAAGAATTCTTGCCCTCCTCAAAGAATAAAGTTCCGCTGCCTATTTTCCCTTCTGTCGCCTGCTGCCCTCCTCAAAGACTTCTCTTCTCTTCTTTTATTTCCGCCGCCTCCCAAAAAAAATAATTCCTCCCGCCAGCAACCTAATATGTCCCAGTCCTTCCACCAAAATTCTCCTCCCTGTGCAGCCTTTCTTTTTTTATTATTCAAAGAGATTCCGTCCCCATTGATTTGCTGCCCCCAAGAGATTTTCGTCCCCTTGCAATTAATGGCCCCAAGAATAATCACTCTGTTCCGTCCAGGCCCAGTCCCAAAAAATCCCCAGTCCGAAAAAGTCCAGTCCCGATTCAACTCGTCAATAAGTTCTGGTCCAATGTATATCCAGTCCACTTGAATTATTCTATCCACCAATGCAAATTTCTCGTTTCATTTACCTGAAATATATAAAACATTTGGCACTTGATGGTAATGGTTTTATAACCATTCCATAGTCAATTAGGCTTTGAACAAGCATTATATGTCTCAAACATATCATGAAATAATCACATTCAGCACGCAAAATCAATATGTTTTCGACAATTATCAAAAACGAAGATAAAAGGTACATATTTATAGGACAAGTCCCACAAACCCCTTTCCCCTTAAGACAAGAAAACCCAATCCCAAACCAACTAGTAAACGATTACTTCCTAGACAAGACATAATATAATAATACGAATAACCATATATTAACCGAATATTCTCAACGATAATTAATACAAAAGACTAATAATAATAATACTAATAATCCTAGGTGGCCGGCGGAATTATAATGCACCTAACACCCCCTCTTTTAAACAACCTCGTCCCTGAGGTTGCCTTCTTTCTCCTCTTCTCCGCCACCTTCCTCCTTGAAGTCCCCGATCATGACCAAAATATTCGCGTTAGCGCAGCGATGCCCATATGTGAACCTTTCGTTACAGTTGTAGCACAAATCCGTTGCGACGGCGTCGAGCAGCTTCTTTCCGTGACAGTTTGCGGATGATCCTCCTCGGCAGTGGTGGTGGTGTTCGACCTGCAGCCGGTAACGCATTTGGGGCAGCAAGGAGTGGCGCCAAAGTTGCGTCGGCGGCGACAGCCTGTGGCGCATTCCTCGTCGATCCCTTCTCCAAGCGCAACTCTACTTCACGTATCTTAGCCAGGCGATACGCTTCTCAGGTCGATTGGGATTGAAGGCTCGAATATAGGCGGATATTTATGGCTTCAATCCACCCATGTACGACCCCATGATTCCGACCTCAGTCCACCCGCGGTAGCGGTTTAGCAACTTCTCAAAAGTTTGCTGGTACTCGTCGACGGAGCTGGTTTGACGAATTTTGGCCAATGCCTCGTGTCCAGACGATTTCTCCGATGACCCATAGCTCTTCCATAATTCGGCGCACAGATTGCTCCAAGTCATCACTACCCCATGCTTCGCGAACTCTTCCTCCACCCACATGATCCACTGGTTCGCGTCGCCGTCCAAGTGGTAAGTAGCACAACACTACTTTCTGCTCCTCCGGAATGCACTGGTAACGGAAGTACTTTTCCACGCGGGAGACCCAATTAGATGGATCTTCTCGTCGAAACATGGCTTGACCCGACTCTTCAAACTGACCCATGTTGACAATGGGTTGGGCGAGGTCCTCCCGTGTACGGCCCACCGAGTCCGCGGCCATGTGATGCTCCGCCCCTGCTCTCATGCTCCAGCCCAGGAAGGGGTCTTTGCCCGCTCCAACTCCCTCCAGCTCCAGCCGCGGCCCACAGAGCACTCGCCCAGCTCCGGCTCCGATCCACAACCCCATTGGCCCTGCCGCATAGCCCGCCACTCCTTGCAGAGCCGGCCCAGCATTCTTGCTGCTAGGGTCGCCGACGTGAAACATCCCACTACTTTGAACTTGGAAAAAGACACTTTTCTACCTTAGGGTAAATTCAAAAACTTCAAATCACACAACTTCAAATAAAATACCAATCTCAAATATCTTAATATCTCAAAGCGTAGCCCTAAACACGTGGGCAAAACTTAAATCGTACTCTTCAAAAGAACCAAAAGAAATGAATCTCCAATCTGTAACTCTTAACCATAAAGTCTTAAAAACTTCTTCGATGCTTACTCTGACGCCTGAATCGACATCTCTCAGCGACGGTGGTGTTGAGCTCCTCTAGCTTGCTGATCACGGACTGGCTGGTTATGATCTCCTCCTCTACGATCTGGTGAGTGAGTTGGTGTCAATCTACGGCTCTACCCCCTTACGTTTGAAATCTCTAGTATTTCGTACTTAAGAACTTAACTTAAAGTGGTGGATGACACCTCCACTCTTTAAAATTTATTCTTAAAACTCATATCTCAACTTAAATATTTGACTGACACTGGGATCCCTCACTAGCTTGTCCGGTTGCCCAACTCATACGTATATGATAGCCCCTCCAGGCTTTCCTTAAACTTAAACTTATCGTGGTGGCTCTTCACCACGATTCTCAAGAGCATAACTGCTACTCATCTTAAAAAGTCTCAAGAGAATAACTGTTGCTCTATCTTAAAGATCTCAAATGGCAACGGACTGACGCTAGTGACTAAAAACTCTTAAATCGATTTCACATTCTTGAAGGTGAAGTACTTCTTAAAAGAAAACTTGTTTCTTAAACTCCATCTTACTAGTAAATGAAGCATTCACCTTGAATATATGACTTTTTCGATTCCTTACTCGAAGAAATCCCTCCTAGCCGAATTATTTCGGTGAACCTATTAATAAGAAACTCATTTCTTTAGTCGACTTTTCTCGATTTAAAAACCCCTATTGAATCACTAGAACATCCTCTCCTCAAAATCCAGTCCTAGAGTCTCGCTCCAAATGTCCCTTAACCCCCTCTAAAAATTTTCTAGAAAAATCCCTTCAAAACCGACCATTTTTCTTAATTATTTTTGTCTTGGACGAATTTTCACCTAACTTGAACCTTCTTAAAATTTCGGATAATAATTTTCCCATATCAATCATGAGCACCTATACCCTGGAAAATTACAAACCCTTAAAAAACCCCTCGTAAAGATTTTTATTTAATTAAAACGAATATTCGATCAATTTCTACAAATAGAAATTCAAAAATCCTCAAATTAAATTAGAGCCATCTCCCAAAACGAATATTTAATAATATTTGATTATTATTACTATTCTTAATCTGCGATTGCAACTCTTAGCACGTAACCGTTAAACTCACCGATCATGTATTAAGGTCGAACCTAAACCCAAAGGTCGGAGTGTTACATTTCCTCCATCCTTGTAAAAATTTCGTCCCCGAAATTTGAACGGTATTGTAGTCCCTTTTACGATGCAACGTTGTTGTTGAAGGGATGACACTCGTTGACATATGCCATTTCCTTCTCCCTTAAGAAATTTTGACTTTGAAATTGTTGGTTGAACTGGGTTGCTAGCTATTGTGAAACCGGACTAAACCACCAGGTCTTATTATTGAAAAACTAAGAAATGAGAACTAAAAAGAGAACTAAAAGTGAGAGTACACAGAAGTTTACCAACTACATATCTAAACACCATTAAACAACTCTGAGTACTTCTCTCTCGTGCTACTCTCTGTCTCCCAAGTCGCAGCCTCGCTGCCCTGGTTTCTCCATACCACCTTTACCATGGCAATCTTCTTCCTCCTCAACTCCTTTTCCTACCTATCCACAATATGGACTGAGACCTCCTCATAGGTCAAATCATCCTTCAACTGGATGTCCTCATGCTTGATCTCATGCTCCGGGTTGGACCGATACGCCCTTAGCATGCTGACGTGGAAGACGTTGTGAATCCTACATAGGCTAGGAGGTAAGGTTAGTCGATAGGCTAAGGGTCCAATGCGCTCCAACACCTCATATGGACCGATATACCTCGGACTAAGTTTTCCCTTCTTTCCAAATCTCATCACTCCCTTTCAAGGAGATACCCTCAGAAACACCATATCACCCACTTCATAACGTCGCGGGTTCCCTGCCCTCTCACCATTACTCTTCTGCCGGTCTTGAGCCGTCTTCAAGTTTCGGCGAATCACCTCCACCTTCTCCACTGCCTTCTGTACCACCTCTGGTACAATGGTGTACGACACTTCCTCCCATACAATACCTCATATGGAGCTGCTTGTATCGAGTTGTGATACTGGTTGTTGTATGCAAACTCCATTAGAGGCAAATGCTCGTCCCATGCTCCTTCCATGGTCAAGACACACGCCCTTAGCAGGTCTTCCGGTGTCTGAATTGTCCTCTCTGACTGCCCATCTGTTTGGGGGTGGTATGCGGTAGAGAAGTTCACTTTAGTGCCCATTTCCTTTTGAAGACTCACCCAGAATTGTGCCGTCAAGCTAGGGTCGCGATCAGACATGATACTAAGTGGAACCCCATGCAATCTCACTATCTCCCTCATATACAGCCTAGCCAGCTCCTCCAACCCTGGCTTGAACTTGATGGGTATAAAATGAGCCACCTTTCAGAAATGATCTACAATCACCCATACTCCATCATTCCCTCTTGGAGTCCTTGGCAAACCATAGACAAAATCCATGGCGATCTTCTCCCAGGTCCATTGTGGAATCTCCAACAGTAAATGCTCAATGACTGGGGCTTGGTGCTCAATCTTAATCATTTGGCACTCCAAGCATTGGTAGACATGTGCAGCTACCTCCTTCTTCAACCATAGCCACCAGAAATGCTCCTTGGGGGTACCATACATCTTAGTAGCGGTAGGGTGCATCGCATAAGGTGTAGAGTGAGCCTCGTCCAGAATATACTTCCTTAGCTTGTCGACATCTGGGACACAACCTTCCTTCATAAATTAGTACCCCATATACCAGTTCAAATTTGGTGTCCTTCCCTTCTAACACTTGCTTCTTGTACTTCTCTAATTCCAAATTTTTACGCTGATTCTCCTTGATTCGTTCCTGCAGCATAGGACAAATTTTTAAAGTTGCCAACAACTGTCACATCCTCTAGATCCAAATCCACGTCCATGGCCCTCAAAGAGACCAACTCCGGTAAAGGGCTCTCCCTCTTCCTGCTCAAGGCGTCAGCCACCACATTTGCCTTTCCTGGATGGTACTTAATGGTACAGTCATAATCGCTCAACAACTCCATCCACCTTCTCTGCCTCATGTTCAACTCCTTCTGATCAGTCAGGTGTTGGAGGCTCTTGTGATCAGTGAAGATGGTGAACGTCTCATCATAGAGATAGTGTCTCCATAACTTCAAGGCAAAGACCACTGCTGCCAACTCCAGGTCATGGGCGGGGTAGTTCACGTCATGGGGTCGTAGCTGCCTCGAAGCGTAGGCGATCACCTTCTTATCCTGTATCAGTACACAACCCAAGCCTTGGTAGGAAGCATCGCTATAGATGAAATACTCCGCACCGCTTGTAGGTAGTGCTAGCACCGGTGTAGAGGTAAGCTTCTCCTTCAACAACTCAAACACCGTTTGACACTTCTCGTCCCAAACAAATGCCTTCCCCTTATGAAACAGCTGTGTCATGGGTCGTGCAATACTGGAGAAACCTTCCACAAACCTCCGGTAGTACCCAGGTAAACCCAGAAAACTCCGCACTTCGGAAACATTCTTTGGTGGAGCCCAGTATGTTACAACTTCAATCTTCTTGGGATCCACTCCAACTCCCCGTCCCGAAATCATGTGACCCAAGAAAAGACCTCCTTCAACCAAAAGTCACACTTCGAGAACTTGGCATATAGCTTCTCCTCCTTCAATTTCTGCAAAACCACCCTAAGGTGCTCTTTCTTACTTCTCGAATAGATGAGTATGTCATCTATGAAGATGATGACAAACTTGTCCAAGTATTCGTGAAGAACCCGGTTCATTAGTGCCACAAAAGCCACCAGTGCGATAGTGAGACCAAATGGCATGACCAGGAACTCATAGTGGTTGTACCTGGTGTGAAAAGCCATCTTAGGTATTGAACCATGTGCCACTCGCAACTGGTGATACCCTCGATCACAGATCGATCTTCGAAAACACCCTTGCTCCTTGTAGCTGGTCGAAGAGATCATCTATCCTTGGCAAAGGATAGCGGTTCTTGATGGTAGCCTTGTTCAGCTTCCTATAGTCAATGCACAGTCTCATCCTGCCATCCTTCTTCTTCACGAACAACACC